ATTCTGAGACCAAGCTCCCTGTCGCCAAATTTCGTATGAGAAGCGCTACCTGATGCCCTAAGAGGGTGGGCTGTTCCAGCAGGTGAAGGCCAGTTTAGTCCAAGGAAGAAGACTAGATCTGTCTGTTTATGGTGTTGGACCAGGAGGGTGTGCCTTGCTCTACTTCGTCTTGGTGGATGATGGAAGTAACAGGTGGGGGCAAATCACGGTCATCATCCCATTGGTATTTTTTTTTACGTCAGAAGTCATGGAACTTTTTAGATCTTTCTCGCCTTTGAAAAACTGGCCTGACAGCTTTCTTTTTTTATTATTTCCTCTGCCCTCTAATGGCGAAAGCGAAAGTATAGCGGATAGATTTAGGCCTTTTCCTGATGGACCTGAAGTGAGTAGCGCTTACACCCAAACTTACAAAAGGCTTCTTTTGGGGGTTTTCATCCCAGTAGCCTTTGTCACCGTTAAGAATTGGTTCCATTAAAAAATTTTAAGTCCCTGGACACCAGAGAGGCTTTCACAGAGGGAGACCGTCCTTCAAACAAGTTGGAAACAGTTCATCAGGCCTTAACCCAGCCGTATTGCTCATTTAAGATGTATTTTAGCCGCCGGTGTGGTGAAGTTGAGGAGAAATGGAATTTTTTTTTGCCTGTTTTCTGCTATTAGTCGCTGAAAGGTTTTTACTACTTTTCATATGTTTCTTCCTCCCTCCCTGGTTTTATTGCATTTTTTGCTTTCTCTTTATAGCTGTTGTATTTCTTCTTCCTTGTTTGCTACTTTGGGAAGGAAGGTTATAAATACCTTAATAAAGACAGATTTTTTACCTCCCCGGTCGCAAACTGAAGTGGTGGATATCAGCTGATTTGTAATGAAAATGAGATGATTGAAAAGCAAGAGAAAATAATCCCCATGTTCAAGGTAACCCTACAGTCCGTGACACAGAAAACAATAAAAATCTAATCTCCTTCTCACGAAACAGCTGGCTGGATAGCTTGGTGGCTGAGGTCTCTGTCTGTTGAGCCAGAAGTTGGGAGTTCGATTCCCCCTCTTATGACTCCTGGGAGGAGACCCAGCCTGGGTGGCCTTGGGCAAGCTGCACCGTCCCACAGCGCCCCCTAGAGGAAGGGAAGGGTCAACCTACTTCTGAGTCCTCTCTCCCTGGAAAACCTTGAAAAGGGTTGCCATGTCAGAATTGACTTGATGGCACAAGATGATGAGGATGATTGCCACAGACTAAACTGAAGAAAACACTCTCCCCAGAAGTGGAATCAAAAACGTAAAAATTAAATGTCTTGCCTGCAACACTCTACAACCTGAGGCTGGCTGGCTGGCAGGAACTCTCTGTCTGGGAAATGAGGATGAACTGTAACTATTATTCGTGAGTGCCCGTTTGTGAGAGGTTGAGAGACGCTCCATGTGCAGGGGCAGAATGCCACCGAACATGAAATGCATGGCAGAAACGGCAGGCAGACTTCCATCTCCTGCTTATTGCTTGGCCCCAAGCTTTTGGCTGGAAGCTCTCGGCGAAAAATGTGGGTCTAATCCAGTTCTGGGATCCTCGTGGAACAACTAGCCGACAGCTTCTCGGCGACATCCTGCTGGTGGCACCACTTTTTCTTCTCCCTGACATCATACCTCAAATCAAAAGTGTATATATTGGGCCTGATGACAAAAACTGCTCACGACACACTGTTCTCTGTGGCCATTGTGTTAAAGGCATCCCCAACTCTTACCGTATTCAACCGGCATTTCTCTTCCATCGTTTAAATGCCCCATTACAGATCTTCAGCATACCAGAGTAAATGACAGTGGAATATAGATGTTTTTGGGGTCGGGTTTGATTTATGAGCGGATGGCCTGAGGTGCCCGTTCCTTTGAGCTAAGATTTGTCGAAGGGTAGCTTTTTGAGTGACCATTATTGATTTATTTAAAATATTTCCATGCTGCCTTTCTCAAGGGGGCTAGCCTCATTAAAACCGTATTTAAAAGCGAAAACAGGAAGTATACAAATAATTTTTTTAAAAAATTATTAAACAAGTAGTATGATATTCAACTCAGATCAGTATCAACCAAAGCAATGTTTGATGCATCCTCCTTAGTAGTAACTCTGCCTGTAGAAATTCATACTTAGCTGGGCAGAGATAGCTTTATCCCATCCGGATTTATCTGTGAGGCTTCACGCTATTTTTTTTGTTTTTTAAAGTTCTTCTGTATGTTCCGACTGCAATCCTTTGTATTCAATGATCCTGGAAATGTCTTTGACGAAAGAGTGACATCCATTCTTTGGGCAGTGGCTGGCAGGTGGTGGGGCTTCCAGACCCCCGTGAGACGGGCGCTCGCCATGTTTACAGTGGCCTCTGGTGGCCCTCGAAAAATGAGCGTGGGAGGGGCTGGTTTGCAGGCCATGGGGGCGGGGGAGCTGCAGAGAAGAGGAAAGGAAAAGGGGATGTTTTCTGCCCATGCCATGTCAGGTCTAGGCATTTAACGTTAGGTGGGATTAATGTTAGCTTTGCTATTTTATTTATTTATTGGATTTCTATCCCGCCCATCTAGACCAAAGGTCTACTCTATGAAACTGCATCTGATTCCTTTGGATAAAAGTCAGTGAGCACGTAGTTCTTTCTTCTTTTTCTTTTTTTGCATGCTTTTACTACTTTCAGGCAGGACTCTTGTGTTTTATGAATCGGCTTGTCAGTGTGCCAAAATCTCTTGGATCCCTCCCTCCCTTTGCTGCTCCTCTCCAGACGGATTGGATTCCTTCCCTGCCCCCCTTACCCCCCCTCCCCTTGCGTTTTGCCACCTCGTGTGGCTGTCAGTTGTGTCTAGAGCCTCAATCCTTTCCTCTGGTTCCCTGGAAGGCTTTCACTCTTGCTTTGTGTGTGTGTGTGGGGGGGAGAGCGCCTAGCCCCGCCCCCCAGCCGATGACAGACCAGGAAGTGGAATCGAGGATGACTTTGGGTGATGTGGCAAAGCCCTTGCCCTCTTCAGTTCGACCAATGGTAGCTCGAAGAGGAGGGGGGGTCCCGCCCCACCCGAGTCGTAAATCACAATCATCGGCCAGCCTGTGGTTTGCTCCTGAGGGCTTCAGACCCTGAAGCCCTTGAGCCTGTTCTCCACGTTGCTTAGGCAGAAGAGAGAAGCGTTCTGAATCACTGTTATGCAATCTTGCTCCGCGTCTGCTCCGGACCCTGGATGGGAATCTTGCTTGATCTGTTGGTTGCCAAAGAAATGGACTTCCATCTTTTGGACCCAGTGATTTCTGCTCTGGTGTTAGCAATGCGGTCATAAAACGCACGGCAATCGAAGACATCTGAGATCAGCAGCTGGGAGAGCCTCTGCAGAACAAAGGCCACAATTGTGTTTTGTGAAAAGGTCCAGTAAAACCCATGGTGCTCGATCCAGAGCCAAACCAGAGCAGGGCCTCAAAGACGTTATTCCATAATTGGGTTCTGTGATTCTGCTTATGCAGAAATTCACTTTAGAAGAATAATTATGGGGTTATAGGTATCTGAACCACAGGTGTGTGTATGTGTGGGGAGAATGGCACTCTTTACTCCCCCTTAACTTTGTTCCTGCAGGAAATTCCTTCCCTCAAAGCTGTAACTGGATAAAGTTCCCCATTTGGTGTGAAACAGGAGAGGACATTTCCAGTCCCTGTCTACCGTGATCCTATTATTAATAGTTTCATCCACTTTGTCTCCCTCCCCTTCTCTTTCTCTCTCACACACATACTCACAGGTGTTGCTTGCATTTTAAAAAACTGGATATAAAATGCAATTTTAGATGCATTTGACATTTACGTGGGCCTCCAGTAGAGCCATTCTCCACCTGGTTTTGGCCATGACCACAAACACTATATTAAAAAAATACAGTGGTGCCGCGCTAGACGGTTATCCCGCTTGACGATGAAATCGCTTTACGATGGGTTTTTTGTGATCACAAAACGATGTTTATATGGGTTTTTTCGCTTGACGATGAATAGTTCCCTGCTTGGGGAGCCATTTCTTCGCTAGATGATGATTAGAAACAGCTGATCGGCGGGTCGCAAAATAACTCCCCACTGTTTTCAGGACCGATTCTTCGCTTTATAGGCATTGCAAAATGGCCGCCCTATGGAGGACCTTTGCTTCACGATCAGGTATTTCCCCCATTGGAACGCATCGACCGGTTTTCAATGCATTTCAATGGATTTTTTTCCCGACTTGACGACGATTTCGCTGAACAGCGAATTTGCTAGAACGGATTATCCTCATTAAGCAGGGCACCACTGTATAGGCCAAATCATGATTGTGTAAGTCATAGCACGATAGAATAGTGAAGCTGGAAGGTGCCTATGAGGCCATCAAGTCCAACCCCCTGCTCGATGCAGGAATACAAATCAAAGGATATCTGCCAGGTGGTGGTCTACGTTTCTCTTGAATGCCTCCAGTGTTGGAGCACTCCCCAACTCCCGAGGTAACTGGTGCCACTGTTGTACTGCACTAACAGGTGTTTTTTCCCCCTGATATTCAACCGAAATCTGGCTCCCTGTAATGTTCGGACCTTGTAAGGCGATATGTGAAGAATTGGTTCAATTCTGTGGCCCTCTTCAAATGTTTCGGGGGCCCAAATGTGCCAGGATCTCTGTTCTGGAAGTCACTTAGAGCAGTGGTCCCCAACCTTGGGCCTCCAGATGTTCTTGGACTACAACTCCCAGAAACCTTCACCACCACCTCTGCTGGCCAGGATTTCTGGGAGTTATAGTTCAAGAGCATCTGGAGGCCCAAGGTTGGGGACCACTGACTTAGAGGAAAGCACTCTTATTTATTATACCTGGGGCCCAATCTTGTTTGGAAGCCTCAGCACGGTTTCTGTGGAATCCCCATGGATCCCCACCCTCATACGCCCAGAATCCACATTTTCTAGCTTCATAGTTTCCAAGGGGTTTGTTACTGCAAAGCCAGCCCCTGCTTAAAGTGTAACCTGCCCCAAATTCTGTTGAGTCAATGTCCTCGTTTTTATTTCCACAGCAACAATGTCAGAAGGGGACAGCACTGGCGATTCCATCCATGGCAAACCTTCAGTGGTGTATAGATTTTTCACGAGACTCGGACAGGTAAGTTTCGAAACGGTGGCCGAGAGATGCATTTACCCCATGAAAGATTTTTCCCTTTGGCAGTAATGCAAAGGCTCCCACTAATAATGATAGTATTTTGAGAACTGTAGAGTTGGAAAGGGACCCAGCTGAGGGTCCCAGTGGGGGAATTGAACTCCCAACCTCTGGCTCTGCAGCCAGAGGCCTGTAAACCACAGAGATATGCAGAACGTCACCTTCAGTTCTCCATAAGGATGGGATCGGAGAAAGCATCAGGAAGGGCATATATATATTATGTTTCTCGAATTTAGTTGTTGTGAGGTTGTATATTCCTTCTCTGGAGTACCGTTTTACACGGTTTTTTTAATGTTGTTACGGTCACAGACGTGCCTTCTACCACGGTTTCCATACTTGGGTTTCCAGTTGATAGATAAATAGATAGATGGCTAGATAGATAAAACCTTTATTGGCATAAGTAAAAATTGGACATAGTCATGGTGGTTTGTTAGGTAGTATAAGCATCAAGAGGGCAGAAAAGATGATATTCTGAGAAGTTCTAGCCAGCATGACTGAAGCTGATGAACGCTGGAAGTTGTAGTCCTATAACATCTGGGGACCCAAGTTTGGACACCCCACTCTGCAGGAATGCTAGATTATCCCCTATCAGATGAGTCAAATTGGGCCAGCTGCTGGATTCCCAACTCCCACACCTCTCCTCACTAGGTATGCTGGCTAGTACTGATGGGAATCGTAGCTCCTAGACCTCTGGAGGGCCACCGAATGGCTACTGTAGTCATTGGCTGTGTCATGCTGTTGTAAATAACTTGCGATATTTAAGAGATGGCCCTTCTAGCCTTGCCAGGTTGACTTTCTATGTCATTCTGCATTTCTTCCAGATTTACCAGTCCTGGTTAGACAAATCTACTCCGTACACCGCAGTGCGATGGGTGGTCACGCTGGGTTTAAGTTTTATCTACATGGTTAGAGTTTATCTACTGCAGGTGAGAAGGCTGGGCTTCAAGGCCTCATGGGTCGCCGCTTTCAGAGATGCTGTCGAACTTTATGCCCCTTGCTAAGTTGCAGCAACAGGTTATTCGTCATTTGGATTCTGTGCTGACCCAAAATCGTTTAAGGGACTGAACAGCACTATTGGTAGAGCTGGCTCCCTCCTGCTTTTGCTCTGCTTATTTCACCAGCATCTCTGTTCATCCGTTTGCCCTTCACCAGATTAAGCCCGTAAAACAGAGGGGTGGTGGTGGAAATCACTGTATGTTAAAGTACAGTAACACCCCCCTAAGAAGAGATTTGTCTTTGAATGTTTTGATTTATACTCATCTGTCTGGGGGGGGGCTGATCACATCTGTCTTCACCCACAGCACCTCTCTTCATCCTGATTTCTTCCTCGTTCATGCAGGGAAAATTTTCTGCCACTTCCCTCCGTTCTCCCACTCTGCCCGCAACTGTCCTGTCTCTCTTATTTCTCTCCGGATAGATCATTCATCCTCTACTTGCCTTCTCCATGTTGTCCCATTTCTCCTGCTTTTTGCCAGTTTAGAGTTATGAAGTGGCGCACCCGCCCCGTGCTTAAAATGACCACGCAACAATCAAGAATTGTGGGATGTTTGGGCTGGAATGTAGACTCCTGGTTGCTTACCTATGCTCGATCTTGGCTTTATTCTGAATTTTTCTCATGTTCTTCCGCTGCTAGTTACTTTTATGCCTTATACTGCTTCTGCCACTTCAGAATAGCCTCTGGTTTATACTGGCTTTCTTGTTCGTCGAGACATGGGCGAATGACATATCAGTGGCTGTGTATCTTTACAATAGGTTGTAAACTACTGCTGATTTTTTTTGTTTGATTTTACGTTTTGGTTTCTCTCTCCTTCTCAGGGTTGGTACATCGTGACGTACGCCTTGGGCATCTACCACCTAAACCTTTTCATAGCTTTCTTGTCGCCAAAGGTAGATCCCTCTCTAATGGAGGATTCAGGTAAAAGGAACTTCGTGAGATTTGCTTTAGTCTTGGTACAGGTGCCGTTTTCATGGACAGCACCAGTACAGGCTTCCTGATTCCTGTTATTTACTGTACTAGAGAAGGTGGCCTATTAAGAATAGATACAGTAGTATACAGTTATATGCTTCATACTGCCCTGAAGTCCAGAAATGCATGTATTGCATGTCACTGTCTTTGCAAAGAAGCATTTTCATTTTTAAGATACCTGGATGAACAAGTAACCTTAAAAAGGCTGGCGAAAATATGACAGGTGCTTTGTTAGAATTCCTGAATTATCCTACTTCCCCCTGCTGGTACAGGGGATCAAAAGAAAAGAAAAAAAGCTTTCTGAATGAGAGCTGGTTTCCGTGAGGTTGGGATGATGTGGCATTTATACTCTGAGCTTTCTAATCATCTGTGTCACCTGTCCCCCTTCTGTGTTAACCAGTCCTTTGATCAGTGCCTGATGCTTTTACGTTTCCTGTCCTAGATAAGATTTATCTGGTATAAAGGAAGTGAGAGTATGAGGTGCCTTATTCTAGCTTGCACTCTGTGGATGCCAGTATTGTTTAACACTGAAATTACTTCTGTCTGGTAGAAGATTTCCCCCATTATTGAATCCTTTGAATTGAAGATGCTGAGGATTTAGCCCGTGGCATGCAAATCGGAGCTTCAGAATTTTTCCTGGCCTGTGGTTTCCATGCCTTTTGCCCAACTAACTCTTGAGTAAGACTCGCTCTACGGGGTTTTAGGCAGGATTGGCGCCTAGTCCTGCTTAGAAATCCCTTGTATTTTCCCCACCAGTCTCCCATCCAAGGGACTATCCAAGCTGAGCTTCCAAAACTGAAAGAGGACAGGCGTGTCACGTTGAACATGAAATTCTGTGTGTTGCAATGCAGACAAGCAACTCCCGTCAAAAGTATGCGCTCTCCCCCTGAGCTGTGTCTTTCTTTTAACTCAAAGAAGGCGTTTTAACACAACCAAGAGGCCAATCAAGGAATTCATTTTTCTGGCAGATGCTTAGATAACACACATAGTTTGGCCCTAGCAGGCTGTTCCTGCCCTGGTGTCCTAAATTTAGTACCCGTCCGGGTCATCACAGGAGCTGTGCACCTTGACAGAACGACACTTGCGTTTCACCGCAATAGCATATTACACAATGCTTGTAGGAACGTGCCTATAATCTGCCTATAGAGGTGGAGACAAGCAGTTGGTTTTACATCTTTCCAGGGGCCGCCTTGTGACACTGTGTCCCTTGAGTTTGCAAGGCCCCCCTCCCTCTGTTTTGGGACTTAAGTAACTACAAGGTCGGGGGCCGCCTTGTGACACCGTGTCCCTTGGGTTTGCAAGACCCCCCCCCTGTTTTGGGACTTAAGTAACTACAAGGTCGTGGCTTTAATTTCCATCTGGGGTAATTTTTGCATTTTAATACTTCTTCCACTGGAGCTAAGCCTGAGTTCTGAAAGACTTCAAGACACTTGCTTTTTTTTTTTTAATGATGTCTCAGGGGTCCAGTAATAAATAGCTTTGTGTTTTGATTTCCACGGGAGAGCAGTCTTAAGCTGCGTAGGACCCCTGTCCCTTTTAAGATCTTTTGCTTTCTCTTTTTCCTCGCAGATGAGGGTCCTTCATTACCGACAAAACAAAACGAGGAATTCCGACCCTTCATTCGAAGGCTACCTGAATTCAAATTCTGGTGAGTGAATTTTACCTCAAAATAAGGACGATTCAACATCCTACCCTGGCAAGAAAATGCGCGCGGGTGTGTGTGTGTTTCACCATTCCCACACCAGTTTCCTCAGTTTCTTCACGTGCTCCAGGTCACATCAGCAATCTAGACTTCAGATGATGGTTTGAAAGGGTCCCCTTGCAGCTTGGGGCGTGGAAGTGAGCACAAGAGTTTAACATGTCCATTTGGAGGTCATGCCCAAGAGTGGTCAAAGGAAGACCGGAGGCGGAGCAGGGTTTCCCTGTAAGAGCGCGAGGGTCGACACACACCAGGAATGACGTCTGGGTTGAGTTAGTCCATTGTCTGCAGAGGTTTCATATCTGGGGCTGTACACAGCCATCACACAGCCTCTCTTGACAGCAGCTCCCCTGGCTGATAAATCCTGGCTCTAACCTATAGAGCCCTAGACCACTGGTTCTTAACCTTTGTTACTGAGATGTTTTTGGACTGCAATTCCCAGAAGCCTTCACCATCAGTTCTGCTGGCTGAGGTTTCTGGGAGTTGCAGTTCAAAAACACCTGAGTAACAAAGGTTAAGAACCATGGCCCTAGACAACTTTGACCCAAGTTATCTCAAGGACCGCATCTCTCTTTATGAGCCTGCTCGGGGGTTTTAAGATCATCCGGGGAGGCTTTTCTCTGGGTCCCACCACCTTCCCAGGTGTGCTCGGTGGGGACCCAGGAGAGGGCCTCCTCGGTGGTGGCTCCTCTCAGACTTTGGAACTCATTCCCACGGGAGGCCAAACGGGCCCCACCGTTGCTGTCCTTCCATAAGGAGGCGGCGACTTTTCTCTTCAGACAGGCTTTCCCTCCGCAAGTGGGGTTTTTAAATGGAGGGGGGTCCCTTTCCTGCTTTTGAATGCATATTTGGTGTTGCTCATTGTGTTTTTTTTTAAGCATGGCTTTTGTTTGATTCTGTTTATTATGTGTATGTTCACTGTGGTTGGCTTTAAAGGTTTTCTTTTAATAACGCAAGCCACCTCGAGTCTTTTGTAAGAAGAAAGGTGTCTCTGTGTGTGTGGGAAATACTCTAAAAACAAACCGATCCTTTCCCTTCCAAGGCACTCCGCTACGAAAGGCATTCTGGTGGCAATGACGTGTACATTCTTCGAGGCGTTCAACGTTCCTGTGTTTTGGCCCATCCTCGTCATGTACTTCATTATGCTTTTCTGCATCACAATGAAGAGGCAAATCAAGGTAAGGATTTTACCACTGGGATGATCATGCTCCTGATTCCAGTCCCAAGCCCTCCCAGTCCATTCTCTTTCACACACAGAGACACAAAAAAGTCACAGGTCTAATACTGAAAGTTGGGTGGGTGTTCCATTGTGATGGTCGGCTGCTTTGGATTAAGAACAAAGGATGGCCTTCTGGATCTTGCTGGACTACAACTCCCAGCAGCCCCGGGCAGCACCGCCGGCAGTAAAGAACCCTGCGTGGGAAGCATGGCCCGAGGGTCATACTTTGCTCAGCTCCCTTAGAGGTCATGAATGGCTCCTTCTTGCTAAGAACAGCTCGGTGTGTTAAGAGATTTGGGGATGTTGTTTCACAAAGGCACACAGATTGGGGAATGAAGTCCTATGTTTGTCCTCAAAGTGGTTCCCTCCCCCTCCCCCTCTTTTGTTGCAGCATATGATAAAATACCGATATATACCCTTCACACACGGCAAGAGGAAATACAAAGGGAAGGAAGACATGGGGAAGACCTTTGCTAGCTAGGAATCGCGCCGGAACCTGCTGACCAACTCCTTACCATTATAATTAAAAGCCCAGTTTTGAGCCCTTGGTCGCTACGCCTCTTTCCTTCCTCTTCAGCCATCCATCCGAGGGAGGTGATGAAGAAGACGCATTTTCCCCTCCGGTTTATGGTGGGTCAGGCTTCCCCCCCTTCCTTCAGAAGGATCCTCTTGATTCTGTTGTTTGTGGGCTGTGTCACACGTCCTGGGATGTTTCTGCACGCCTGCCTTTGGTTTCTCTGTCTCTTTTTCTTCCCTGTGCAAACACGAGTCATCCTATGTTCTCACACCGATGCAGCCTCCTCAGAACTAAACCCAGCTGGTTCCAATGTATTTTTCAACAGCAGGGTTTTACTAGAGATGGGCTCGGGTGTCACCTAAGGCAGAATTCTCACGTCAAGACCCCTGCTGCAGTTTCAGGGGGAAAGGTTCCAACAACGGTTATTTATTTACATTATTCTCTCAAATGCAGCATGCCTCTTGTACACTGTTGAAATGTTATTTGTGTAGACCTTAGAGGATGATGGCACTCCGTGATGGGTGCATTCTGCTTTGTCCCATCCCACGCTGAAACAGAACTCTGTCTTAGAGCATAGAAGGTACCTAGGTGACATGGCTATTGAAAGGGGAAATTGCAAATCTTAAAACAAGCCTGCCCTCACTTTTTCAAATTGGAGGAACTTATTTTAACTTTTATGGTAAAGAAGAGGCTGATCTGTAACTCCTTCATTGATAACTCAATATTGTTGTTAATGTCCATGATCTGCTTTCGGTTCTTGTTCCCTCCCGTCACAAAAAAAAGCCTGGCATTATAAATATATAATTATTAGGTGGTGGGTATTCTGACCTATTTTTCATACTACATAAACAAGTTTTTTAAAAATTAACTTCAGTTTGCTTCCCGTAGTCCTTTCCAAGATGCATCTCGACTGGCCGTGGCAGACAAGACTTGGCATGTTTTAACACCGCTTTTAATTTTCTAGGGAGAGGAAATGGGAAAGGGACAGAGCTGCATGTGAAAACTTTCGGATGTGATACAGCTATAAACTATTTTATGAAGTGGATTTTTAGAATTCCAGACTTTATTAAAAAGACAGTGTCCCTGTCTTGGGTCCAGTAGTCTTTTTAAAAGCAACCTCTATCAGGAGCTAAGGGTTACTTCTCTCTCTTTAATATATCCCTTGGAGCCTTTCCCCCCCTCGATTTGTGAATTAATAATGGTCAAGACTCAATGGTGTCTTTCAGTATCTAGCGCTACCAGATTCAGGATTCCTTTCCTTGCGGTTGCGGGCCTTTTTAATGTGCAAACGGGACCCAGAAGGTTTCTAGGGTCCATGCAAGAGAAGGAGGTGGCATCACATCTGTTCCAGTGAGAACGGCAAGAACCTGCCTGTGTAAATGGATCTAGGCCATAATATAAATTCACCAGGGCTTGATCAAATGAACATACAAGGTGGAAAGTGTTACTAATCCTCGTCTTCTGTCCTGTTTCTCAAAACAGTGCTTTTAATTCTTGCACAACCGTGCGCCTGGGCTGGTTGAATGAAGCCCTCTGCACTCCTGTACAAAGATCATGCCGAGGACAATGGTCTCTGTTTACAAACAACTGCAAAAGCAAAAGTTGTCCGCACTGTGCTGAGCAGAGTCACACTAAATGCCAAACATCTGACGAAATTCCCACTTACAGCATTATGAAAAATATGAGCATTTTTTATTGTCGAGAACACCTTAAGCAAGTGCTCTGGGGGGCTACTGCTTTTAAAAGAAAGTAGTAAGCCCCGGGCCTCTGCAAATGGCCAGAATTAAAAATAAATAATTCACAATTAGCAATCCTCATTCTCAATAAATTACACGGGAGCCAGTTCTCCCCCAAAATCAGTAGGGCTTGGTTACACAAATGGGTCTCAAGTTTAAGATGCCGGAGAAGTACACAATGCTGCATGCGTTCCCAGCTGGTAAACGTCTCTGCCTTTAAAAGTTGGGATTTCAGGATGAGATGTAAAAGGGCCTATAGTTACAGACTAGGAAGGTAGCCATAGCCTGTAGCTAATTAGGATAAAACCATTCACCTCGAACTTCCTACCTTGAATTCGTCACACTCTTCTACACAAGACTTTAGGGTTGCATCACTCTGAGAGAAAATGTGACAGATAGAAGGACAAGACACTCATCTCTGCAACGCTTAGGCCCACACTCCCTCTTGAATAGGTTATTCCTTCTGCCTACAAAGTAGGGTTACACAGAGGTTGGCCATAGTAAATGTTTGGTACTCTCTTTAGGGCCTCTTAAAAATGGGTCAACTCAAATGCACCGGCACGTTCCAGGGCACTTAACTTACAACTTCAGCATGTATTCAGAACACTTTAAATACCTTGGCTGAAATCCTGATTTTTTTTTTTAAGTGAAAGGCAAATGGTGTAACATTTTACTTGCTCCCACATGGCCTTTAAGGAGGACTCACTAGGATTCTTGAGCGTGAACAAAGCCCATGCACATGCGCCCAAGAGTGTTACGGCATTTGCCTTCCACTGGCATAACTGCAAGAGGATTTCAGCCGCGGGACTGCCTGCTGGTTACGAGATTTCCCCTCTAAGACACAGTGAAGCTAGAAGCCTCCGATGGCCGAAGGTTACGTGTGGCACAAATGTTCTGTTCGGACAATGGGCCACCTCTGAAGCAGAATAAACATGTCATTGCCGTAAATCCAGCACATGCCAACATCTTAAGCAGTAGTAAAAAGGGTGTGTGCGCACGCGGATTGTTACACTGAGTCCTATCGACGAAGGGAGATGAACACTAACAGGTCCTTTTAACGGAGAGATTCCTATCGCCTTGTACGGGCAGCAAATCTGAAATGTTTGGCTACTCGGTTTTATCATAGGAATTTAATATCAAAATAAAGTCTTGCACTTGGTCAGATGTTGTATCATCTCTGGCTCCTCACGTCGGAGTGACAGGCGGTTGCTACCGGTAATGCCGAAGGTAAATCAGCTTCTGTGGATGAAACTTCTCCCTGCACAGCGGGCACTCTGCCTGGAGGAGGGGAAAAGGACAAGAGCGTTCAAAATGGTCAGGTTAACTGGATGAATATCCATCATTCTGGAGAGCTCAGCAGTTTGGATGTGTGGCTGCAGAGCCATGGATTGGGAGTTTGATTCCCCACTGGGCTTCCTTAAGAGGGACTGCACTCAATGATCCATAGAGGCTCCTTTCCAGCTCTGCAGACTCTTTAAGATTATTTTTTTCCATTTCTTTATGTGATTAATCCTCATTGTACTACCTACATTTTCAGCAATGTTGCATCCTGTTAAATGTGGTTCTCAGATAATTTTTACATCAGGGATCTTGTTGTGATCTAAGGAAGCTCGAGGGAAATCCAGGACACTCTCAAGACTAGTTTATGATGAGCTACGTTGCCCACCTGTAGCAATTCAGACTTCCCTAGAGAACACCTTTCTGAACCTCTGGACCTGCACCTAACAGACACTCCACCACTGAGCTATGGATGTAGGAAATCCACAAGACTAGAGCTGAACAGTCAACAACGTGCTTTAGCAGTGGTTCTTAACCTTTGTTACTCAGATGCTCTTGAAGTGCAACTCCCAGAAACCCCAGTCAGCACAGCTTGTGGTGAAGGCTTCTGGGAGTTGCAGTCCAAAACTCCTGAGTAACCCAAGGTTAAGAACCAGTGCTTTAGAGGGTGTTCTAGCTAAATATTTCCAGTCAGGATGGGGTACCAATGCTGCAGGAGTACAGAAAAACTGCCCAACGCTGGTCTCGGGGGGGGGGGGAAGAGTTCCCATCTCCCAGAGCTCTCACCTTTGTATTGCACCACTCGGTCACACATTCCCAGCAGAAAAGATGCCCGCATGGCGTGGCCGTGGCGTGCCGGCGTTCTTCCAAGCACAGCGTGCAGCGAGAGCCGCGGCTCTGGAGCTTCTCCTCGGGCTGGGTCCTGGGGGAAGGAGGGGAATGGGTGAGACACCGTCAACTCTCTAGGCGTTCAGGTCATCCCTGAGAGCAGGAAATGCAGCTGCAGTCAAGGGACTAGATGGGGCGGGAGCATGCTACTAATGTCCAGGTTCCTATCTGCTACACTCTTATCTAAAGGTGAGTCAACAGTGACCCCCCCCCAGTGTTGTGTCCACAGATGTTTGAGGGCTAAAACTTCCAGAAGCTTTCACTGCTAGCTGTGCTGGCCAAGATTTGCAGTCCAAGAACATTGGGGGACCCAACTGCCTTTGACCATCCCTGTCAACAAGGTTCTTCAAATGTTGGGACTGGAGCTTAGCTGTAGAATCATCCTCCATGGTGCATGATGCTGGGCCTTGCAGTCCAGGAACATCTTGAGAACCTGACATTCACCCCAGGGCAGAACTCTTAATTCATTCGGGCAATCGACTTCTGCCCCATTTCAATCAGGACCTGCACAGGCTGGGAACCCGTCTCCTGTAACATAAACGGTTTTTGACCTGTGCTGAAGGCTTGCTACATCTTTGTGCTGCCCCTTTCCCCGACCTCCACAGCCAAACAGAAACTTCGCGACCTTTCAAGGCAAGCAGTGTGTGTGTGTTTAGAGAGACCACGATTTCCAGCCTTGCCACAAGAATGTTGGGGAACACAGACTCGAGAGGACCGGCTTCACTGCTTGAGAACCGTAACGTCCGTTTCTGGACTCTTGTCTATAACTTTTTTTCTGCACTATCCATGAAGGTTGTGTTCTGAACGGGAGTTTTCTCCCCAAAAACTTGCAATTTGGCATGTTATAGTGGTCCAAACCTGAGATATTGCCCACCACTGCATTTCTTTTTGCATAATCTTTTGAAATAGCAATTCCTTTCAACCCTTTCAACCTCGTGGGCTTCAAAAACTGCCATTCTAGAGCATCGCTGGAATCCTAGTTCCAGGGGAAGGTTAAAAACCTATTCATTCCAGCATAGCTCATTGTACAGTGGACCCTCGACTTACAGACGGCTCGACTTACAGACTTCTCGAGTTACAGACTTCTCTGGCTGCAAAATTCAGATTCGACTTGCAGCCAGAGAATCGACTTACAGACCAGAAAAAAACCAAAATGGAATAAAAATAGAATAAAAACCACTGGTTATGGGATTAATCGGTTTTCAGTGCATTGTAGGTCAATGGAGATTCGACTTACAGACTTTTCGACTTGCAGCCACCATTCCAATACGGATTAATTCCTTAAGTAGAGGGTCCACTGTAATCAAATTGCTTGGATGCCTCACTCGATTCCAGAGGCAACACCCATGGCCCTTCCCCATCTTGGTTAATAGGCAGATTTCTAGCATCTAGCTGCAAAACGGTTCTGTTCAAATGCCACAACCTCACACCTGCGGTAGGACAGGTTACGGTGCAGCTTCCATTCTTGTCTGGCCCGGTGTCTCTGCTGGAAGCTGTAAGCCTGGAGGCCGACCATCAGTGCCAGATGCAGGAGTGAGATGATCCCGAGAAGCCTGTAATTCGATCGGACGCTCCTGTCGTCTCCGGGGAGTCCCGCAAAGCGCAGCTGGAGGAAAAACGCAGAAAGGTTACGCCACGTTGGTGTGCTCTGGATTCAACTCATTAAGGCAGCTCTCCCCATCCCTCCCCTGGAATTTTTCCAGAGCTCCTGGAGGACAACACTCTTTATCATCCCTAGTCACGACAGCCAGCCAAGGCAGATGAAATTTATCTTGAGTCATCAAGCGCAAGACAATTGGGCCAGAGACGCTTTGCAGGAGGATCCTCTATTGAAGGTCTCCGCCTGCTCCGCAGAGGTAACTTGCCCATCCCTGAACCCTCCCAGAGTGAAACACTCCTTCGCTGTTGATTATCCTGGCTAGGAGTGATGGGAACTGCCCCACCATCCGGAGGACCCTGCCCTTGCCTACGGGAACCACTGGGGTGTCGTAGACAGAGTGATGGATTCAGACCTGGGTTCGAATCCTGGCTCAGTCAGGGAAATTCACTAGGAGTGTGAACCACTCGTAGAACCACTCCTTAAATACAGTATCTCACCTAGAAAAGCCAAGGAACGCCGCTTATAAGTCAGATGCAACATGACAAAACGTAACAAAGAATTTTAAGGAGACCTTTCACCACTCCAAGCAGCCCTGGCTGTGTCAGTGTTATAAAGATGGAACTGCAGCCATCTGAGTCATTGAGAAGCCCCCCTCCCCAAAGGGTTTCAACCTGTATTGGAATAGATGCGCTGCATATGTTCTGTCACCCCAATGATTGCACCGCCTGCAGGTTTTCATGCAGCTGACCTGGATCTGTGCTTTTATCAAGGTCCTTTTGGAAGGCCTGCAACCTGTGGCAAATTCACCTAAAAGGTGAACTGGTGCTCTATGGCGACCCTTTCCAGGGTTTTCCAGGTAGAGAATGCTCAGAAGTGATTTCCCATTTCCTTCTTCTGGGAGGGATCCCCTGGGACGGTGCAGCTGGCCCAAGGCTAACCAGGCTGGCTTTCCCCCCAAAAGGACTCCCAACTTCTGGGTCTGCAGCCAGAGACCTAAACCAGGTCTACACAAGCACAAATGGAATGTGTTGATAATCACAGTTTGGAAGCACTGAAGATGGGAACGGGTGACAGCTCAGTGGGAAAGCAGGTGTCTTGGCCTGCCTGTGTTTCCAGGTTCAGTCACTGATCTCTTGAACAAGATCTTGGGGAGGAGATGACAGGAGAGATTATTCTTCCCTTGAAAGACCAAAGGAATGCCCAAGGCTACATGGGCTGGCTCTACTTGTAAGAAGCACAGTGGGGAATCAAACTCTGCAGCCATATACCTAAACCATGGAGTGATCCAAAAATATAGGTATTGATTAAATTTATTCGGGAAGGCTTAAATTCTTAGAGGCAGCTTACTTTTTCTTCCTATAGGAAGAAGTCAAGAACATTTTGCCAGGTTCCCTATGTAACAGAACGCCACCTAATACTGCCTACTTACGTAGGTGACCCCAGTCATCCTTTTTGCCAGGTGGTAGAAGAGGCCATTCATATAGAAAACGGCCAAGTGCAGCCGATGGAAGAGGGGGAGACTTTGCTTCAAGACATACACAGCCGAACCGAGCGTTTTCTTCTGCGATTCTGTCAGCCGCCTGAGCCATTTCTGCAGCCAGCTCCGCAGTAAAGTCGTCCCCCACGGTCTGCTGAAAGGTCTGCTTTGCAACGCCCCGGTTCCGCCCGGCTCCATCTCGAGTTCATGTTCCAGGTGCACTAATCCCTTTTCTAACACGTAAGGCAAAACAGTGTGCAAAGAAATCAGGGCCGCCCGGCGAAGTACGGAAGGAACTTTTCTCACTGACGGGTCTACTTGGATAATGCCAACATACTCCTCACCGAGAGTTTGATAACCTACGGGGAGGCACGAGAAGGACAGATGGAAATCCTGAAGAGGCAACAGGGACGTTGGTAATGATGAACTTCACAAGGCAACCAAAAAAAGCACAGCCCCATTTAGGGGAAATTTTACCTGAAAGGGTAGTGAGCGTGAAATACGCTACGTCAGCAAGCAGCTCAATTTCCTTCTGCCATGCTAACCATGTTTTCGCGCCTAAAGAATCATAGCAAAGGACAGTGTTAGAGAAGAAGGAAGCTTAAACTATCTTGGTCTGGGATTGATCATATTAAAATTATTATTAATTAAGTTTGACTGCAAAATGAGAAGGTGACACTGGCTTGAATCGTCAATGGCTTCATTCGATAAAAAGAGACCCGGCCTGTAGCATTAAAGACTTGTACTGTTAATGACACAATACTTTGCATTTTATTTACTTAAAGATATTAAAGTCCACCTTTCTCCTTAAAAAGAACCCAAGGTGGCTTACCTGAATTAAAATTAAAAGTTTTGAATATTGGCTGTGGTGAAACATAGGAAGCATTTGAGGGCTAATACAGAACCCAAGAAGACCAGGACTTCTCCAAAGAACTAATATGAATTAGTTGAGATCCTTTATTATGATCAACCGATGAGATGAAAATTAGCAACAGAATTACATGATCATGGAAATATTAAATACAGATTAAACAGACACTGCAGATGATTAACTGTTAAAAGTAGAAGTTACTTTCTTGGCAGTGGAAGGCTTTTGGGTCTGCTTTTGTGGGGGTGGGGAGAAAGTGATCCCAACTAGGGTTTTAGTTAAGACATGTAAAATTTCCTTTTTTCCAGAAAAAAAAACCCACTCATGCTTAGAAATGTTTTCATTTATCCCAACCAGGGTTTTAGTTAAGAGATATAAAATTTCCATTTTTCCAGAAAAAAAACACCCACTCATGCTTAGAAATGTTTTCATTTTACATTTTCTTATTATAATCACTGGTGCTTAGAGAGCAAAAAATGTCCAAATATTTTCAATTTTTTTCCTGGAAAATAAATGCTTTCATTTTATATTTTCTTATTAGAACCACTGGTGCTTAGAGAGCAAAAAATGTACAAATATTTTCATTTTTTTTTTCCTGGAAAAGAAGTGTTTTCATTTTATATTTTCTTATTAGATGAACTCTGGTGTTCTTTAGCGATGTAAAATTTCCCAGACATATTTTCCCCAGAAAAAGTTTTTTCCCCCCTAGAAAAAAACTGAAATGTTGTTTTCTTTTACAGGGAAAAAATGGAATTTTTGTGGTTGTTTTTTCCGG